AAGGTGCGTGAGTACAGTCCAATCTGAAAGTCTCTACACATAGGTTATGTGTATATGTATGTGTATATATATATATATATATATATGTACATGTATATATGCATGTATGTATAAATATTTCTATGGTATGTATGATATGTATATACTACATACGTACTTATGTACATTTCTTTCTCTCTCTCTCTCTCTCTCTCTCTCTTTTCTCTGTCTCTCTCTCTCTCTGAATCCTAATATATACGTTTGCATCTTTAATCGAAATCTTGTCTCTAAACTAACGTCACTTACGATTTTTTTTTTTTTTTATTTTATTTAATTCATTTAAATATATTGAGAATTATTTTTATGTATATACATACATACATTACATATATACATTGATAATTATAATGATAACCTAAAAATCATATGTAGAGATTTTGTAAAACATCAAAGTTAACATATTTTATATTTTGAACAATTTCTTTGTCAATTTATTGAGATATATTTTCTATAATGTGATTGATTAATGAGAAAAAAAAACGAGATTTTTGCAAGAGAATGTATTTTACGTGAACCTGTATTTTCTTTTTTTCTTTCTCCTTTTTTGTATTTGATTTTCTAACGGTATTTAGTTTGAATATATAGAAATATTTCAAAGCTAATGATTTGTCATATAAGTCACTAAAAGAGAGAGACAGAGACAGAGAATGAGAGAGAGAAATTTTAATTTTAAATATTTTTCTATATATATGAGAGAAAGAGAGAAATATATATATATATATATATATATATATATATATATATATGTATGTAGAGATAGATATATAAATGAAAACAAATAGATGATAAAAAATTTTATAAGGGATTGCATCTTACAATAATTAGTATAAATTTTTATAATCCAATTTGATTAATATAGATAAATTTTTTTTTTAAATCTGTCAATTGATCGTATTAGTTTGGAATAACATTTATTTATCGATGTCACAATAAGCCAATGAACTTTGTGATTTAGAAACTTTTATACTACATATTTTTGTATAAATGCTTAAGAAATAGATAATGATGCAAACAATGAGATTATACAAAGAGAATATTATTGTAGGAAGGAATTTTTGATTGCTTTTTCTTTTCCTTCTTTCCCCTACCTTCCTCCTCCCCAACCTCCCTCCCTCCCACCCTCTCATTTCATTTTCTTATTCTTTCCATTGAAAATTTTCTAATGCAGCTCAATTCAAAATAGAAATATATATATAAAAGCTATTCGATTTAATTATATCGATATAAAATTATAATAAAACTAGTAGTTACCGATATCAGAATCGACTGTTGAACTTTGATAAGGAGAACTTTGATTTTGCATATCTTATTATAACGTATATATGAGAAAATGAGAAAAGATAGAGAAAACTTGACACATATGGTGTATGTATTTTCCCTTATAAATTCAACGATTATCATTCAGCTCGCATAACTTAGAAAGACGATAATGATAAGGAAACTACTCGACCTCGAAAACTTTTTTATAACCTCAAGCCATTTGTCATCATAATCTGTTAAGAACGTGTCTCTCGAAATTGCCTATCTTCTCTCTCTCTCTCTCTCCCTCTCTCTCTCTCTCTCTCTCTCTCTCTCTCCTCTCTCTCTCTCTCTCTCTCTCTTTCATTGCTTGGTAAATTGTACAGAGAGAAAAGAGGATGTACAAGTTTTAGTTATGTGACGTGTCTACTAATGTATGCACATATACATACGTATTATCTCTATAAATATATATGTGTGTGTACAAATGTATTTTAACATACGTACTATCTCTTCACACATATACGTATCTATATAGAAATTTATTTAATATATATATATATATATATATATATATATATATATATATGTGTATGTACACATATATTTAGGTAAATACGTAGGATATCTAAAAATCATTCTTGTGTACTTGAAACGATGATCTTTGTCGATGTATATATTATACATAGTTCTTCCTTAGTCACTCGTTATCTCATTCGCGTGGGTGGCTGCAACGTCGTAAGGACGATCAGTATCAGAAAAAGAAAAAAAAAAAGAGAAAAAAATAGTAAGAGAGAAAAAGAGAGAGAAAGAGAGAGATGCATGACCATTTGAAAGTACTACAAGGATAGTAACATCGGTCTGAATATAATACATATACTCGTACATACATACGTTAGAATGATTAATAAACGTGAACGTACATTTAATCTATTCCAAACTCGTTCGACTAGTTCTGTCGAAAAACGTTGACGTTATTATATATCTGTTTACGTATATGTATACATATATATGTGTGTGTGTGTGTGTGTGTGTGTGTGTGTGTGTGTGTGTGTGTGTGTTCGTATGTATGTATTTATGTATATATATTCTAGTTAATGTATTACGTTTTATTTATATTGTAACAGACGTATTGACCTAGTGATAAGGATATGTGTAGATCGTTGTTATATATGTATGTATGTATGTATGTATGTATGTATGTATGTATGTATGTATGTGTATATATTAATATGATGGATTGGAAACATAAAGAATTTCGAAGAAAAAAAAAGATGGAAGAAAAAAGAAATTAAAATTTTTAAAGTTAGTGATGCGTTTTAATTTATCATAAGTTCTTATTGAAAAATTTGTATATATGTGTGTCTGTATGTATGTATGTATAAATCTGATTATATTCTTGTTATATTGTATAACAAATGTATTGATTTAGTGATAAGAATTTGTAGAATTAATTAAATTGTAGAAGTTATTCGTTCATTTTATCTGAAGAAATAAAAGAAAAATAAAGAGAATGAAAAGGAAAAAGAAAAGAAAAAAAAAAAAGAAAAGAAAAAAAATAAAAAGACAAAAAATTGACGAGGGAAAAAAAAAAAGTAATTCTATGATACAAAAACCGATTGGAATTTTATTAAGTCTAACGAAAATTTTGCAATCCTATTTATATAAACAATTAAATTAACGTCGAAAAATTATAAAAATGTTTATTATGATTTTACTCAGGCACGTCGAAACCTTTCCCATCCCTCTATTAAAAAAAAAAAAATAAAAAAATAAAAAAATGGAAAAAAATAAAAAGAGAAATAAACATTAAGAAGAGAAAAAAAATCGATAAACCCAATCTCAATTATTATGTCACTAATATATATATATATCACACATATATATATATATATATACACAAATAAATAATGACAATTAATCTCGAGTTGTATAGTTACTTATATTTACCGATATTAACATAAATCGTAACTCATAAATTTTCTCAATCCCACGTGTTCGCATTCGTTACACGCGCGCGCACACACACACACACACACATAAATACATACATGCATACATATAAATGTACGCAAATAAAAATGTACGCACGTACGCATGTAAGCCCATCCATAAATACAAATAATATACACAGGTTGGCGAAAATTCATGGGTTTGGTTAAGACCGAATTTAATAAAAAAAGAAAAAGAAAAAAAATGAAAAAAAAAAAAATAAATAAATAAATAATGATAAAATAAATAAATAAGTAAAAGTAAAAAAAAAAAAAGAAAAAAAGAAAAAAAAAAGAAAGAAAAAAGTCGATAGAAAAGTCGGCTGAAAGAATTATCATCGTACGGACGATTTAACGTTGGCGTTTTACAACTTCATCCTGCGATAACAGCACATGTTACTATCTTATGGTTACATACATATACATATACATATATATATATATATATATATATATATATATCGGGTAGTTTATTTGAATTATTATTATTATTATCACAGAATATTTCTAATAGGTAGAAGTGTCTCCGATCGAATTTAAATGTGTATATTAACGGATAGATATGGAAACGAAAAAAAAAAAAAGAAAAAAAAAAAGAAAAAAGTTAATAAATAAATAAAAAGAAAAAAAACAGATATATATATATAGTAAAAATACGAAGGTGACTTGTAAAACCAGAACGATGCTTGTATTCTTTGCAAAAATGTATAAATATATTGAGAAATCGTTAACGAGATAGAGATAGAGATAAGGATAGAGATAGAGATAGAGATAGAGATAAATAGATAGACAGATGGACAGAGATAGATAGAAACGGAAAGCTTTAAGCAAAAGCGAGAAAAAGATTTAATAATATTACCTTGGTAAGACTGGACACATACATACATACATATGTATGTACTTATATATATATATATACATGAATACGTATATATTCATAGTTATCTTATATAATGCACGCAATCTATAGGGATCGAGTAGTCGATCATGATCGAGCGATCTCGAAAGATTTCATGTATCGATAAGAAAAGGATTGATATTACAGAACCGACAAAGACTGTACATATATATATATATATATATATATATATATATATATATATATATATATATATATCTTTGGCTATGAGTAAAAAAATAAAGAAAAAAATAAAAAATAAAAAAAAAAAATAAAGGAAAGGAAACAAAAAAAAATAATAAAAATAAAAAGAAGATCTAAATCAAGAGATCGACAAGGGTGTAGTAATATATCATGAAAAGTAACAACATCGAATTATATCATCCTGGGGCAGGTTTAAGATCGTAGCAATCGTTGCAATCCAATATAATTTGTGTCTTCGATGTCGCATACGAAGAAAAAGATTCCTAAGGGATTTACTTTTTCATTTTTTTCATGTTTTACTTTTTCTATACTTTTCTCCTTCTCGAGTGATCTACCGAGCGAGCGAGCGATCGATCGATCGATCGATCGATCGGTCATTAGAAATTCCATAGTAATCCATGGTAATCGATTTGATTCGACGTAAGGTATGAATGAAAATATGGCAGAGACTGTAAAGAAAGAAAGAGAGAGAGAGAGAGAGAGAGAGAGACAGAGAAAAAGATAGAGAGAGAGAGAGAGAAAGTGATCTTTAAAACAAATCGCAAATCTCAAATGTCCTTAGGATAAACGTCTATAATTATCTTTAATGAACGTCTTCCGTCGTTGGTTAACATGAAAAGGAAAAAAAAAAA